CCGCCTCATCGTAGCTGGGAGGTGGGTGTTCCTGGGTGTCGGACTGCGATGTACAGCGGGGTATTCATCCCCTGGCAGGGTCTCCTAAGCTGAGAAGGAGTCTGGCGTTTCCATTGGGAAGCCTAGCTAAGAGTAAACCAATACCACGATCCACCACCGCCCTGGTTTCAAAGTCGCATGGTGGTAAGTCTCCCTCTGATCCACAAGGGCTGCGAGTGCTCGTGGTGGTGAAGACCTGGGGCAGACTTTGGCCAGGTTGATCTCCGGACTCCAGAAAACCATAATGGCTATCTTCTATCAAATCTCCGGAAGATGGAGATTATGCTAGGGCCTCCACAACCAGTGAGGACGGGCCATTCAAGTATCAAGTAAGTAACTCGAAAAACCGACTTTCTATAAGCCTCGGCATAGGTAGTTGATATATTTATTTATGTGATCTTATAAACCGATCTTCTTAAGCTGACGGGACTCCGCACGTAACATCACGGCTCTGAGGAAGGCGAAGTCGCCGAAACGTCAGCCATCGATCAATAACATCAAAAACAACGACAACGACAACGAAGATCTGTACCAACCTCGCGTCAGCTTAAGAAGATCAGTTTATAGGATCACATAAATAAATATATCAAGTAAGTAACTCTTATGGTACGTGGTCACTGTTGTATATTAACTTTGCTGTCATGCACCTCTGAACACGCTAACTCTATTGTATGTTCATGTTAACCTCTTCCCACTATACTCATACGCTTACATGTAATCTGAAATACGTTAACCTACTCGCAATGTACTTATAAGCTAACACATAACCTCATCACAATGTTATAACAAGCTTACATGTCGCCCTTAACGTGTTAACCTCATCAGAACGACATCATGAGCCTGCATATACTGTATAACCTATGATATTGTTGTTTGTGAGTCAGGTATTACGGCCTTATATGAATCCCTTAATGTGCCTAAATCTCGTGACACTTTTGATGTATTCTAGATGCACGTTGCACTGTTTCACTAGACTACAGGAAAGATACTAACCCGCTTTACCCTCACTTATTGATCTTGATATTATATTGCAGCCTGTATTGTACCGATGTTTATATTTCGTTATCCTTGAACTATTATTGTTATAAGCGGTTTAATTACCAGAGTTTGAGATATTGCTTTGCGAAAACTACGAAGAAGTCTCGTGTGGCAACTTCTATGAAGTCAAGCAACATACTCAAAGCTAGTGATCATAAGGTGCTGAGAACTGACTCGAACACCGAATTTCCACTAGCAACTACTACATAAGGAATGCATACCTGGCATGTACCGTTAACCTGCGATATTATATCAAATAAGTGCTGCTATCTTGTCAGACATGGTACTAATTTGCGACTACAGAAGGATGGCTTGGCGAACCTGGGCACAGGATCGAACCAAAGACCTGGTGCGTATTACAAGACACCTCTAGCGACTTTGTTAAAAGCGCTCAATGACCGATAATAAACAAATTGGAAGCAATAACCAGGCATCACCATTGCTGTTAGAGGCCACAGTTATTGAACTCTTGTTTGTGCACTGGCAAAGTGCCGTATTTCTAGCCAGCGGTGAACAGTTCACAGTCGTCTTCTACATAAAATGAGAGTTCTTTAAAAGGTGATACTGACGTATGCATATTATCCCCTATCACTTAGTACTTTATAACCTCCTGAATTAGTAGCTTTTCTAATACTATGTGAAGCGGTGGCAAACTATGGAGGCCGTTGGTGAGATTTTATTTACGTCATTCTAAAAGACAACGTAATTTGCCCATAAAGCTTTGGTAGCCCTATCGAGTACAAAGTAGCAGATTAAAAATCTGTTTACTGAGGGAACTAGTATGTATACCTAACCTTCGTTTTTTTCGATTACCATCCCTTAATTAATTACAGGCGCGTGTAGCACAGTGGTTAGAGGTGTCCAGCAATGCGCAATGCGAGCTTTGTCATTGCATCGGTGCCTTTTCCTGGAATTATCAACCCTTCCATCACTCTAGGTTCAGCAAATTGGTGGCTAACTTGTCTGGGTGAATAGTAACACTGACTCGACATATCGGTAGGCCACCACGAGCCATTGTAAAAGCCAGATATGAATTCAGTCTTCCCCAAGGTTGGTTACTGAAATCCAGTGCGCAGGGCAACCTTCAGGGATCGAACAGTGCTAAAAGATGGGTCAGCTATTGTATCCTAATAAATTCGTATCAGTTTTCCTTGCTGATTAGTAGTCACGCCCAATAAAAGTGTAGATATTGATAAGTGTTAAGCACAAATATTATCACCAAAGTGCTGGATGAAAAAATCTCAGAAATTTCGAAAACCGCTGATGAGTCCGTCAATATTGCCAGGTAAGGGCACGCGTGACGCAGTGGTCGGAGGCGCCCTGCAACTCACACGTGGAATCGATCTCCGCGTCGAAGATCCACTAAGCCTTCCATCCATCCGGGGTCGACAAATTCGTACCAGACCTGTCTGAGAGGATAGCAGCACTGACTCGATACATCGGTAGGCCACCGCTAGTCATTGCAAATGCCAGATGTGCACTCAATCACCTCCAAACGATGCATGAAGTGGAATGCGTGGCGCATCGCTTAGGGATTGATCAACGCTGAGAGCTTTATTTGTATTTTTATATTGCCAGGCTATGTTGGAATCACTGTTAAATAGAACGTTCAACAATTTGTCACACATGGTCATTCTTCTATAGTTCTTTATCAGAATAAGACTCTGAAAATTACCATATTGACGGTCTCGTGTACATCTACAGGAAGAGCAAAATGTCTATAGAAACTTTTACGTAGGACTGTTGCAGTTTCTGGAGTAATGCGATGTTTGCTAACCTAGGTGCCGCAAATAATCAATGCCCATGGTTTGCACAGATGAAATTGCCTGGTGTCGTATCGGATGTAAATATTTTTGCCTTTAAGTTTAACTGAATATTAGAATGAAATTAGTCTCACGTTTTGCAACCTGTGAACATTTCCTTCCAAGACAAAATACAAGACGGAGTATTTATTTCATGAAAACATTTCGAAAGGTGCTGCAGTGCACTGAAAAGTATCATTACTACCAAAATCAGCTGGAGTGGTTGTCTAATGTTCGTCGAATAACTACTTCGCACTATTTTTGCTTTTCTTTTATTCCCCATTACCCGTTTTGATATCTACTGTGAATATCTGAGCACTTCTTCCATTCGTTCAGTTTCCTTGCAACCATCATCCACGAAAGTTTTCAAACAACTGCCGCGTTTCGGCGGCTGCTTGACGATTTTTGTCTTCATTATAAATGTCGATGAGTGCTATTCGACTCTATTTTTCCTGGAGTCCTGTAATAGTTGTGCCAAAGCATTCTATATGGATCGGAGGAAATTAGCCTTCCGACTCTGAAATGATGAGAGTGCTAATGAGCCGGTTCGGTCACGAACCAGCACCTGCTTCTGATGAGCAGCATCATCACCACTAACACAGTGTGCTGCAGTTTTTCTTAACCATCATAAGAAGAAATTCTACAGAACTCATTTTACAGATTGCGAGATTCCCGTTATAAAAGTGCAAAAAGACAAAAAACATCGCATTGAAGGTGCGATGGTGTTTTTCTATAGCAGCACAAGTTGGATAATGAGAAAGATCGTCACTACGGTACCTGATCAAACGCTACAGGTTTCTTTGTGATTATCACTTGTACAAGTGTATCTCAATCAATATAACGTGTTAAGAGCATTTTTCTGGTTTAAATACTCTAGGAATAAAGTTTATGACATTATATCTAGATTTGCATGACATGGCCTTCAATGCATGAGACCCATTTTGTTGCTTTTAGGCTAAACTGAAAGGGAAGTTGTAATGAGATTTGGATAAGAGATGTCGTTGCATTAAAGAAAACTCATGAAAGATGAAGTCTCACCAGTACTTCCGTCTTTAGCCTTTCTTAGAATATTAGTAGTACCAGATCAACTACCGGGCGCGTAAAACTAACGGTGTGAGAAAAAGACGAACCAGGGCTTATTTGCGTGAAAGTGTGCTCTATGTACACTATGGCTGCACATAGTTTTCTTTCACATAGAAACAAGAATTTGATGAATGTAATGACTATAGCCAGCGCTGAAGCTCTTCATGGATAGGTACGTCACCAACAATCGATCGATAGCTATCGTTTGCACGGCGAGCGTCTCATCGTTGTTAATACTCAATATTAATACGCATACGCATTAATACGCAAATATAACACTACTTGTAAAAATCGCAGAACGCTGGACAGTGTAATCTACTATTCCACTAATTCTCCTCGTTTTTTTCTCGACCAAGCTTAAGCTTACAATCATGTTTTCCTCATGAATTTCTGACTTTCCTGCAATGTTATCAAAATGGAAAGAGTTATAGGTGGATAGAATCTCTATTGAAAATTCTCGTAAGGGTCCGGAAGACAAAAATTGAGAGTTAAACAGATAACATTTATATTTCAGAGAATAGGGAAAGTTGTTGCCAACGCAAGAACGACAAAATTAGGGATTCTTCAAAGCGCTTGGGAGAATGTGAGTGTTAATTGTCAGACCCATTCTTTAGTTTTGGTTGAACTGACGTGATTGACGGTCAATAGATTCTTCTCTCACTCGTGGAAGCCATTAAATGTTATCGTTGATTCTTCAGCCAATAATATTCTCAATATTCCTGTTTTGGTTACTGCTTGCTGGTCTGCTGGTGTTCTTAGTTGCTCTGAATTTTTTGTGTAGGATAGTGTTCACAAAAAAGGTACGTTACTACCGTCTACTCAAAAAACTTCGCTTGTATAAAGCAAATTGCAAAAGATTTAAAGACTCAAATAGGAAAAAAAGGCTTGAAAAAAGTTCATTAGTTGATGTAAAGGTAAAAGCTGATTAATGTTGAGAAATTTTTGCCGCTGGTGAAAGTGTAGGGCTTTACTGATCGATGCTGTCTCTTCCTTTTCCTACACCTTCGCCTTCAGAGTAAAGAGATCAGCGCGACGTCAATGTTTTGGGCAACGTTGTCGTTTGTGGCTTGTGTTATTACGTCCAGCATCGGAATGATCATCTATTCAAATAGTCTTGACCATATACGAACCGGTATTGAAATATTGCCACAACAATTGAATACTACCACATCTGGTAAGTACGAATCTGTTTGTTACTATCTTACGAAGAGTAGCAAGCGCCATTTTCAACTGTTCATTAACACACTACATAACCTATCCCTGTCCTCGGAAACCTGTTCCCTTCTCGCTATTTCTTTTTTGCTTCCTTTTTTCTTTACTAATCCTACCCAACTTTAACAGCACCTTCGAAAATATTTCCAACAGTCTAAAACAACGTCGCTGTTGTTATCTGAATTTCTATTAAATGAGCCCACAGTTGCGATAATGCGGTTGATCCATAGTACCTGCGAGAAAGGAAGAGGCTTGTATTCTTAATTTAACCAGAGGCTGACAACATTTAATAGGTTTTTTCATGTTCACAATTCTTGAAAAAATTGAACAAGTTAACTGGTGAATCTCCTCGGGGCTAAATGTGGCACGTTTTATCAGGAACGCTGTAGCAGGAAGCTCAACGTACATGCAAAAAGTGCTTGCACGTAAACAAAGAGAATTTTCGTTCTATCCATGTAATGAAAACCAATGTTCTTGAATACTGCGCTAAGGTTACTAGCTGGATTTCGTCATGAGTCGTCCCTCGGATTCATTCGGATGGATGGGAAGTTAATTTGTGGGAGAACACGAAGCTGCTTACGACACAATATCATCACGTGTTTAGGAAACGAAGTAGTAAATTCGATGCGGTACAAAGGCAAAAGTTATCTTCTCAAACCGGGGTCTCACTGGTCCAAGTATAGGTTGAGAAGAATATGTTTCACTGAGGCCTTTCCTCTTTCTTCAGATCGATGTCTATTGTTTGTAAGACGTCAAACCCTTCTTAAAACTGGGTGAGAATACATAGGGTAGTAATAAATCCCTTGAGGTATAATGTCCTGTAAACAAACAGTTGTTGACGCTTTTGAAGCTGTTCATCGCCTGTGATGACATTTAGTACCTCTAAATAATCACACCTATTTTCTTTTCTAAAAAATTTCTACATTAGATGTTACTGCCTTCATTTCGAATGTAAATGACACCGTTATGTGCATATACATGAAGCAAATTAGAAAACTAAATTATGAAGTTGGTCTGTTATTCGATTTCATCGCGAGGAGCGTCGAGCAGTTCAAGAACATTCTTAATATGTCTCACTTGAGAAACGTAAGTATCATTAGCCTTAAGCTTTCAGAAACTGTCGTTTTCATCCATTTTACACAACTAAATTGTTTATAGTGGGAAAACAGGAAGTGGTGAGAGTAGATTCCAGCAGAAATGGTAAACAACGAATCTTCTAAAGATGTATATCAGTTTCATAGTCGTAATAGGATTTTTTAGCGAAACTTACCGTGCTTCAATTTCTGACCGTCATGTATAAAAACCAACGTTTGTGCTCACTAGCGTCCATCCGGGTGAAAAATGAAGTATGTTGTTAAACCACAATGGGTGACGCAAGGTGGCGTTCCGACCACCTAGAACCGATGCGGTCGGAGGCGCCCAGCAACAAACACGTGGAATTGATCCCGCGCCCATGGCCCACCAAGCCTGCCATCCCTCCAGGGTCGGTAAATTGTTAACAGACTTGTCTGGCAGGATAGCAGCAATGGATCGATAGGCTATCGCGAGTCATTGTAAGGGCCAGATATGCATTCAGTCACCTCTAACCGATGCTTAATGAAGCCGAATGCATGGATCATTTCTGACGACTTTATTTTTTTCAGCTTTTATGGACTCACTGGCTTAACAGCGCATACCAATTTTTCGATAATTAGAGGACTTCAAGAACTGTGAACCAGATATATTTGTAGAACAGACTTTGTTCTATGTTGTATGAGCATGAATGCTATGTTTCTATTTGCGATATGCCACTCCGGCACATTATTTAAAAAAAATCTCTATCAGAATTTGGAAGGGTTTCTCAGCTTACTTGAGTCGCTCTCGACATTTCTATCACTGTACACTTCAGGCAATAGCCATGAGCTTCGTCATGACGATAAAGGTGAAGTGACAGCTAGTTGTCGGTCAAATTAAAAGGATAAATAAAATAGAAGGTCTCAGCGTTGATCAATCTCTTACGGATGCGCCATGCGTTCGACGTCATCAAGTGCCGTTTTGAGGTGATAATGCGTATGTGGCCTTTACAATGATTCGCGATGGTCTACCGATGTATCGAGGCAGTGCTGCTATCCTTTCAGACAAGTCTGGTAGCAATTAGCCGACTCCGGAGGGATGGAGAACTTAGTGGGCAGAGGCGCAGGGATCCCATGTGTATCGAAGGGTGCCTCAGACCGCTGCGCCACCACATCATTCAAATTGCTGGTCAATAAACTTGTTCAGAAAAATTTTTTTACTGAATCACTAAATGTAAACAATGGCTCTTCTGGTCCGTTAGCTATCGAACGAATATACACTGTTTTGGAAAAAATTCTGTAAACCACTGGACTGAAAATGTACACAATACTCCCAAATCGTCCACTCGTGCCCGCACGTTTCGTCTTACGTCAAATTCGTCCGTTCTATGTTAAATTCAGCGCTAATAACTTTGATTCTGTTTAGATTAGATGATTTGGACTGTATGCGGGGGGTTAGACCATAAGGAGCCTGAGACATGAGCAAAATTCAGAGCTCCATTCGACCTTTAAACCCGCGGTTATGTGGAATTTTAATGAGTTTTTCTGTGTTGAATTGCTTCGCAGTTAGACTAATCTCCGTCAGGTCGTTCATCTGGTTGAGCAACTTAGTGGAGATATTGAAGATATGGACTTAAACCAGTTTGGATATCTTGAAAATTTCCCGGCAGCTAGAATGCACAAAGCTGTGAAGGTTATTGTAAGTGTATTATGTTGACGAATACCATAAACCATTCTTTTAATTCCGGTAGGACGTTCTCAATCATTTTTACTTGCAGCTCAATCTTACCAGTCAGTTATCTTCATTTAAGCCATCGGTCGTCGAATTTCGACTACATGTTGAAGATATGTTCTCAGAGGTGTGGAATAAGAGTATTGTAGATGGCCCTTGTAGTTATGGTGTTCCTTCCTGCTTTACTGATCTCTCAATTTTTTCTTTCTAGATAGACAATAACTTAAAGGTGATTAACAATACGAAGAAGGAGATATTTGGTGAAATCACAGATAAAATGAAAATTTTTGGTGAGGTATGAGTTTTTTTCTAAGCAATTGAGTACATGCCGGAGTTATACAGATCTTTGCACAGTTTTTCCAGATTAGCATTTTGTTGGTTAGGCAAGTTTTCTTTTCCATAAATATCTTAGCTGGACCAGAGCTTTCTGAGCTTACTACTCTTGGTACTCGCCTGCCTTGGCCAAGGAATTTTACTAGAGGCGTAGATTGTTATCGTATTGCACGAAATATAACATAATATTGCTTAGACCATCTATAATGCTAATAGTGAAGAGTTTGTTCATACGAGCACCACCAACTTCTGCATTAGTCTAGGAAAGCAGTAGATGGCTTTGCTCATTACAGAAACAAGAGAACTGACACAGTTTTTGAGTTAAACTCCCTCGAATGGGAGCTATTTGTTGAAGACCACTTTCCACGCTCATGTATTTCCCACGTGTATCCCACTCATTTTTGTGATCGCGATCCGACAGATATGGAGGGTGTAATCTACAAAGATGCAGGAACATCAACATATGTATGCATCGCTGTGACTATGTGTACACCGAAAGGTATAAGTTAGGCCGCTGCAGCAGAGATGTGGCCACTTCCATGAATATCTCTCTAGATTTCTGAATAAATGTGACTACAACTGAAGTTTTACTTCCGCACTGGATCTTCTCCTGACTACTTAGATAGGCGCCAAGAACCCTCATAAATAAACGGTTAGAGAACTCTCAGAAATTGCCCATTTTAAGCGCAATCCCCACTTTAAAATTCTGAAAAATTCGCCAGGACTTGAATTAGGATCTACTAGTTGCATCGTGTACATTATTGAATAAAAGTAAAATTGCTAATAGTAACTGGATTCGTTATAGGTTCTGCAGTATGTGAGTAGGGAAACCGTAAAATTACAAAGGCAGCTAGCGTACATTTTCACTGAAAGGGTTTGTACTTTTGTCATTGAAATATAAAAAGTCAAAGCAATGAAATAGATAATTATGAGCGGGTCGGTTTTTCTAAAGAATAAAAAGGAAATAAACTGTCTTGCTGCTTAACAGAAACAGCTGTAGTATAGGTTTTTGAATACTAATATTATTAGACATGACAAATTATTAACAGTTTAATCACACGGTATTAATCAATCACGGTAACGGTTAGCCATGGCTGTTAATCACGGTCTCAGACTAAGCAATTTGGCTTTAGAACATCATTTGTAGAACTGCCATATTTTTTGGGGCGATTGTAGCGTAGTGGTTAGAGGTGTTTTGTAATACGTACACGATTTCACTCTGCCCTCCGGATAAACGAAGCCCGTCATTCATCTGGGGAACAACAAACCTTTACCACAATTACGTGTGAGAATAAAAATGCTGAACTCATAGACCGATACTCCCTCTAAAGTCATTGTGCCAAATTGCTTTAACCTCTTCTACGTTACTGGTTCAGAGGTAGAAATTTTGCAATAGATAAGGAATCAGAAATATACTGTAGTGAATTCATTAGCCAACAGAATGAGCAGTAAGCAGTTAGTGCAGCATCTTGTTAATTAATTTGCCGTTGGTGGGTGTGTGGATCTATTGTGGTGTTAAGTAATTTAAAGGTCTGCAATATGTAGGTATTAGCATCTAACATGAGCTTTGATTGAGAGTAGGAAAGTAGTAACCATCGAGTTAAGGTACTGCAATAGAGCTGTAGGCTTCGCTCGCCAAATGAATCCTCGATGTTGAGTTTTGGATGGAATTGCTAGAGACTGATTCTCTTCTTTAATTGAAGGGCTACAGTACGACAAGCTGTCCGCTTGCATCTACTTAGGTTTGCTTGCTATTTCACACGCTGTCCTTTCGATTGTTAAAAACACAGTGCGTGCCTAAAACTTGGGAAATTAATTTAGCACATATATGTAAGAATATTGGAACAATAACAACGATATCTCGATGTCAATTAATATAAAGAGCTTACGCGTTGAGATGATAACGAATTCGACAAACGAAGCAAATGATGAATAGAATGTTACACTGAAAATAAGAGAGTAACTCCTGTATTAGGTTGAGGAAGTAATAGGAAAAACATGTGTTGCAACGAATACAAGTAAACCAAAAACTTGATACTTGATACTTGAATGACCCATCTTCACTGGTTGTGCGGGCCCAGCATAATCTCCATTTTTCGGAGATTTGCTGGTTAAGCCATTATGGTTTCCTGGAGTCCCAAGGTCAGCTTGGCCAAAGTCGGCCCCAAGGCTTCAGCACCACGAGCAGTCTCAGCCCTTGTGGTTCAGAGGGAGACTTACCACCATGCGACTTTGATACCAGGATGGTGGTGAACCCTGGTGTTGGTTTACTCTTAGATAGGCTTCCTAATAGAAACGCCGGACTACTTCTCAGCTTGGGAGATCCTGCGAGGAGACGAATCCCCTGCTGTACATCGCAGTCTGACACCCAGGGACACCTTCCAGCCACGATGAGGCGGTAAACCGTTGGGAGCAGCGAACCAATAAGAGTAGCAAAAAATATAGAGCTGCGGAAAGAGATGAAAATAGCTGGTTTGCATCGAGTCTTAGACGCAGAAATGAAGCTAGGCGATTGTAGAATGAGCGTGATTCCCTCTTAGCTAATATTTTTTTTCGATTGCGGATTTCGAGGTACTAGGAACTGAAGAATGTCTTTCAACCATTGGTTTTTCAAGTGTGCATGTACACAAAACATTAGAGTGGCTTTTCTAGGTAACTACGAAGCAAGGGCATGAAATGACTTCTAAGAGGCAGCTCGCAGAAAGCGAGATGAAAGTTTATGAAGACGTGGAGGACATTCGATATTTGTTGAGAATGTTGGCCATATTGCTTTACGCAATCGAATACATGTCCCCTTCTAAAGGATGAATCATATTCAAACGATTTATCAGTAACACCAAAATCATAGAAGTCGTCGCCGGCAAACTGCCATTGGTGATACTTCGTGTACGAAGGAAGGTAGAGGAACTCACAAATGTGGATGAATGCAAAGAAATTAATATAAAAACAAATGACAACCTACTTAGACTAATACGGTACAAATATTCGACAAATTTGCTCCTAAACAGTGCGAACATTTAGAATTTTTCACAACGTCTCCACGATCTTCTCGGATACACATTACTTATTCCCTTCACTCTCCTTTTTCTTTCTGTTATCGGTTTAGCTGGTATTTCAGTCAGGTAAAATGTTACACTTTTTTGTTGGGCCGGTCATATACATCAAAAACTGTGCGTCTCCATTTCAGCTGGGCATTCTACAGTAGTCGTGATCGTCACAGCAGTCGAGAATCACGTCGTGGCGCTTTTTCGATGGTCGCCGCGTCAGCACTTACCACGACTGGCTATACGGCGATGTTTGTTGGAGCGTTGTTATGCTTAATGACAGCGTAAGTAGATGTCCTTCGTTTAGATGAAACATGGAAGCAGTTTTAGCGAAGAGGCTGAGGTATCGTTCAGAACGCAGTCGATAGGTCGCTGGCTCGATCTTATACCCTAGGGTCACCAACCCTTCTGTCTTCCTGAGTCGATGAATTAGAACCAGACTTTAATATGAAAAAAAAAACAATAGCTTAATATCTTAAAACTGACTATCACTAAACCTTAATGAGAAAAACCAGTAAATTGGTATGAAAGTACGCGCCGAGTGAAGTTCCTCATTCGAGCGGTGCTCCCTCCACCGGATTCGACTCGATACGACAACGAAGACCACCAGCATTGCGGCAACGACCAGCTGTGGATCATCCACTCGAATAAATTCGGCTCTGAAGAAGACGGATACATCGGAACGTTAGCCAAATAAAGGATTTTCATAGCAGCTTCGTGCCAGCTCTCTCATATAGAAAGTCAGTGACTAGATTGGTAGGCTCCACAAGCCATTGTGAGTCGAATGTACACTTCTTCTGCACGGTGAGTGGTAAAGTCGAATGCTAAGTTCATTCTCAAAATTTGATAAACGTCGAACGCTCTTTTTAAAAGTGTCTTCGAAGATAATGCGACGCGGTGATAGAGAATGCTACTAACAAGAGAACTTCTCAGATGTTTTCTGAGAAGCAGAAAAACTCATACGGATTGCGAGGTGAAGAAAGCGACGGAAGAAGATTTAAAATGGGTGAAATCAACATCTACTACTTGCTAATGTTCAGCAACGTTGAAGAAAAGATAGTTGCCTTTCACCCCACCAGAATTTTCATAAATTTGGAGAAGATTCCATGTGTAATGGATTCAAGATCCAAATCATTTCTTATTACAACTGGCTAATGAAAGCGTTCCTCCCAACGGTTTACCGCCTCATTGTGGCTGGGAGGTTTTCCTGGATTTCGGACCATGATTTAGAGCAGGGATTCATCTCCTGGCAGAGTATCCTGAGTTGCGAAGGTGTCCGGCGTTTCCAACAGAAAGCCTATCTGAGAGTAAACCAATATCAGGATCCACCACCGCCCTGATATCAAAGTCGCGTAATGGCAAATCTCGATCCACGACGGCTGTGATTGCCCGTGGTGGTGAAGTCCTGGGGCAGACTTTGGCCAGGCTGACCTTGGGATTCCAGGGAAACACAACGGCTTAAACAGCAAACCTCCGAAGAATGGAGATTATGCTGGTGCCCGCACATCCACAGAGGGCAAGCCATTCAAGTGTCAGCTATTAAATAATGAAAGTGGTTAGTGGTTATCAGCATTAGTAGTAAAGGAAATACGGAAGAGGTAATATGGGTAATATGGAGATGGTTTGTCCGAGCGTATAAAATTACCTAATCCTACAGATGACACTTCGTAAACATGTCGGCGAATTGAATAATCAAGGTAATTACTAATGAAACAACCACAACGATGCTGAGATATTTGCAAAATTCCGGACCGCAGGCTTCTGCGGTGGATAACGGATGCGATATTGTCCTTTGCGGGGAGTAACACGCTCACCGCCACACCATGCGGGTCCTTCTTTTTGCGTGTCTCTTAGTGAGTTCTATCGATCAATGCCATCAGCAATCACCCGTCAACGGGATTGATCTGGGGAGTCTAAATCAGTGATGGCAGAGATCGATAGAACTAGCCGAGAGACAGGCGAAACGAAGGACCTTCATGGTGTGGTGGTGAGCGCGGTACTCCCGGAAAAAACAATAGCTCGTTCGTTCTCCAACGCAGACACCTGCGGTTCGGAGTTTTGCAAATATTTCAGCTTCATTGTGGTTGTTTCGTAAATAATATCTTATCGTGAAAACTAGTAAAAGGCAGTAAATAAGAAGTCAGCATTGTATTTATTAGTCTTGTTTAGGTTTTGTTTTCTTATGGCTTGCTGTGCGTTATTTATTTGCATAGGTTTCTTTGGGGACGATGACTTTCGTCTGTTTAATGTATGTTTTTCCGTGGTTTGATCAACTATGACTGCGATGCTATTTGAGGTGCGTGTAGCGCAGTGGTTAGAGGTATCCTGAAATACACACCTTGCGTCGTTTTCTTGTTCAGCAATCACGAGGTTGTTATACAGTACACATTAACTTTCATAGAAAAACAATACAATACAACAGTAGCTGATATTTGGGCAGTATCGCCTTCTTCAGAGCGTGGAATGATATACCGATATACAATTTATTAGGCCAAACGCTTCAATAACACTTATAAAAAGACGAAAAACTATGATAATTAGATGATCAACAGCTTCTCGAAACACTCACCGCTTTTTACGTGACTTCCAATGAGGAAGGTTAGAACAGCTGATTATAGTCGTATATGGTTGATGACTGCACCACCCCACATCAGAAATTCATGCGAAGATACGGGGACAGGTCGCGTGTGACCTCTGGGCATTCGTCCCTGCTATTCGTTGTGGGGTTTTTGGCATTTATCCAAAAAGTCTCAAGAAGTTTGCGCGTTGGTGTTTTAGTGTCCTGTGCGGGGATATTGACTTTAACTTCAAGATCGTTAACTATTCAATCAGAACTATTCTCGTCCAAAGACGGCTTTGGATTTGTGAAAGAAGGATTGTTACTGAAACAAAAAGATTGTCTTAGCTAGACAACGAATCAACTTTCTCCGCCGCTGTGTTCAACATCTAGTCGTGGCGAAGTTTATAAAACGAAAGCGACTTTATGAGATATGCGGTGAACCAGAGGACAGCCAACAAGTACGAGGCATCGAAATGGAACTACTTCGAGCGGCACTGCGCAGCAAGCGGAACGAGATGTTCGCCAGAATGAAGAAGTGTGCGACGAAGGAACGTTTTTGTGCTTTGTATATGGAGGATTGCCTTTGGACGTGAATAGTTGATGGGTCAATATTGATATGCGATTTTATTAGGTCTAATGCCAAAATAACCTTGCAACGAAAATTCGAAGATGTTTTGAGTAATTCACATGTCTCGTCTCAACTTCAAGAAACAACCACTAACAATAGCCAAAATAACGCTGATAGTGCACCAAAAACATCTAGAGTCACTATAGTTGGAGGCATAACCTTACCTGAGAACGCGCGCTCCCTACTAGAATTGGGTCTAAGTTTTTCACCATCACAACCCATTTCTAAAGTAATTGTTCGTAGGATCGCATGAGGCTTGTATGAACTTCAAGATCGACTCCGCTATAAGGCCAAAAGAAAAATATTAAATAGAAGTGAAGACGAAGAAATGGCGCTATTACCACCCTCTCTTTTTCCCAGAGCGTTCTCCGGACAGGACCCCAATTTCGAAATTGATACAAAGTTTCGCATGTTTTCGGACGATGTTCTCAAAACCCTTTTCCACTATCGCGATAGAAAGTATATCTCTAACCTCAGAGCTGCGCAATTATGTGGTATGCGAGAAATTAGAGAATTAATAAATTCAAAGACTATTAGACTATCAGTTAGTGATAGAAGGGGAGAGTTCGTAGTTATTCCTCGTCAGCTGGATGTTGAGATAACAGAGGAACATCCTAATGATGTTACCCTTTATCGCATATCATTTGAAAAGGAATACAGAAGACAGTATTAAAAACTTGACAATAAATGGGTCACCGTAGCAAAGGCGGGCATAAAAACATCCGTTATTTCGCATTATAAAGCAGATCGACCAATGTATCCCGCTTTATACTTACTTATTAAAACACATAAGTAGTATCAGCTGTGTAGATGGGCTGTTTCTAGGCCGAATACTTACACAACTGCGTAGCCATATTCCAGCTCACCTCACGAACACCCGAATGTTCCTAGAACCTCTAGGTAACGCGTTTCCTAACAATGCGCACGTGATGGAGTCTTTCGATATTTCCTCGCTCTACACCGGCGTATCGAATGGTTCCGCAATGAAAGCCATCCACGAACTTCTTGTCGAATATGAAGGAGGAATATGTACATGCATGGTTTGTCTATTCAGCAGCTTATGGTTCTACTAAAAGAGTGCCTAAACTGCCCAATTTTCAAATCGCCTGGGAATTATTACGCATAAATTAGAGGGCTGGCAATGGGACAGCGGTTGGCACCAACTCTCGCCATTGCGTTCATGTCTAAAATAGAAGCCCCGGTTATCGATCTCCGGCCGCTACTCTACTGTAGACATATGGATGATTGTTTTCCCATCTGCTCTACTCAAGAGAAGACGGACAAATGCTTTGAATTATTGAATGAGCAGTCTGAGTATATCAAATTCACCCGAGAAAAACCAAAAGAGACCTGGCTTCCATTTCTTAACGTTCAAATCAATTTATCAAGTAGCGGTTACATGACAAAATGGTACAAAAGCCAAGTAATAGAAACATCCTGGTTCACTTCCTCTCATCCCACCTTTCACAGACAAAGAGGGTGCTTGTGAGAAACATGTTTCGAACAGTCACCTCTGTGTGCAGAACCAGGGAACTAAAAGAAGAATCGCGCGACTTCGCTCGCGAAATAGCCATCTCCAATGGCTACGGAATAGTTACCACACGAGATAAGTTTAGAACGAGAGCAACGCGCCCACGCGAAACACTTAGCCAAAAGAAAATCTCGTTTATGTTGCCTTTTATAAGCGATGAAGTAAGCGTAGGTAGAAAACGATGCTTAAAAAGGGCAGGTCTAGAGGAATCGGTAGCGATAGTTGCAATACCACCGGCTACTCTACGTCGCCAATTAGTTCGTTACCGCTTGTATGACCGTCTGTGTGAAACAACAAATTGCGTAATTTGCCCCTACGGCTGGGACGGTGAATGCATGAGTTCAGGTACGATATAACTGATCTCTTGTAAATTGATAATTGCGGAAATGAATATATTCGCGCAAATGGTAGACCCTTGTGAATCCGTATAAAAGAACACCTAGATGGCAAACGAAAAGCAAGACAAAGTACCCCACTAGGCACGCATAGGATGCAAAAGCATAGCGGAGCCGATTTTGAAGTAAAAGTCAATATCCTCATACAGGAGACTAAAACACCAGCGCGAAAAC